AATACAAACACACACACACACACACACACACACACACACACACACACACATATCTTGTTTATACTATTATAGTATTTATTCTGAAGAACAATGTTGTAAGTCTGTGAATCTAGCTGAATGAGGAACATACAGCAAAGTTGGTGACTAAAGAAAACATGTGGTCCAGGTTTAACCAAAGCAGAATTTTGATGGGAGTTATGAAGACATTTAGGCAGCATAATAGAGTGGGAAAAGTACTAAACAGGCTTTGGTGCTGGCCTTGTAATTTTCAAACTGGATTTTGGCAAGTCATTTCTCTTTTATAAGACTCAACTTTCTCAATGAAATAATTATAACACTAATGCCTTATTCAAAGAGACCCTTAAAAGTTAAATTACTGCATGTCTATGAAAAGAACTGGCCTGCCACCCAGCACATAAGATCTGCCCAGTTCTCTGGGTTTCTATCTGAATTGTGTTTTTGGCTTTAATTATTTTGGGAATAATTAGTGTTCTTTATTTCACATGTTTCCTATTCAACTAAAATGTGAGTCTACCAAGGAATACTATTAGAATGCCTCCATGACAGGAGTGTGGGCATAGAGTGTTTGTGGTATTTTGTTTGATTTGGAATTTTAAAGCCCAATCAGGAATTAAGGTATGTACAGGGACATGGCTATTAAGGAAACTGGAAAGGAACAGACAGTCCTGGAATGTGGCAGCTCCTGTTTGATTTTAAATGTAAGTTAAATATTAATTTTTCTAAAAAAAAACACTCTTCTTCTAGGGAGGCTTTTTTTTTCTCTCTTTCTCTCTCTCTCTCTCTCTCTCTCTCTCTCTCTCTCTCTCTCTCTCTCTCTCTCTCTCTCTCCCTCTCTCTTATGTTGACAGACTGTTAGTGGCTTGCCTTTCACACTAACTTATTTGGAGGAGGAAAAAAAAAGTTTTTAGATGATCCTATTTGTATAAGGGGGGAAAAACAAGTCTTCAAAACAGCTCCCTTGTCGCCAGCATCAACAGCAGCTGAACAGGGTTAGGTTGTTGTATATTGAGAGTTATTCCTTTCATTTCAAAGGAATCAAAGATGTTTGAGGCAAGCAAGAGCCCTGGTTACACATGATCAAAATAACATAATATTAGATTTGCTTATTGAAAGAGGCTACTATCAATGGAGTCTCCTGCTGGAGTTTCAGTACATTTTTTATTGTTCCATAAGGATTTTACAGGAAAGAGAAGAGTCATCTTTGAAAAGCAAAGCTGATTTGGGGGAACTAATAAGTATTTGAAGAGCTCTTTTCTGAATTCCTTCCTGCTGGAGGTTTCCTAAAGCAAGCCAGTGCCATGATGCTGTTGAGTTGTAAACAGAAGTCAAAAGGGAATTCAAGCTTCTGTCAAATTTCATTCCAAATATAATAAAAAAGGAAGTGGTTGAATCTCTTTTAAAGTTTTTGAATGGATTTTCTTGTGCATTGGCTGTTCTCTGATCTTATAAAAAATAGAGAAATCACAAGTTTCCAGTTCATACCTATCTTAGCAGAAATTTCAGTATTTTATGGTTCCAATGTCTCCTTTTATCAAACCATCATTTCTGTCTTTCTTACTTTTCATACTTTCTTTCTCTTAAAAAAATTTAAAAGGCTATATCATTCAATGCCCCATGACATTCAATTCACGTTTTATATTTTGGTATATAAAATTAAGTGCACTGATCCTGTTACTAACTATGTGACCAGTGGGCCTAAATGTCCTCATTTGTAAAATAAAACAATTGCATAGGACTTGCAGTGCTCAAACTATATTCTATGCCAGGGTCCTTCAACTTGTACATTGTTGATATTTTAGGCTGGATAATTTCTTGTCATGGGATGATTAGTACATTAGATGTCAATAGTACAACTGTACTTCCCTGCCCCAGTGCCAACCAATGATGCCTTCAGGGAAGAAAAATCACTAAAACACTGATTCTCAAACACCTGTGGCTATCAGAACTCCTGGAGAACTTGGTGAAGACATAAAGACCCAGATTTGTTTCTAATTCAAAAGCCAGGGCCTCTATGTATTTATTAGTTCTTTTCAAACACAACAAAGTTTGGCAACCATTGATCATAAGGAATTGTATTGATCAAGTTCAATGTATGATTCTTGCACTAAGAGCCTCAGCATCACCAAGGAACTTGTTAGAAATTAACATGTTGAGGCTCCACCCCAAACTTAGTGAGTCAGAAACTCTGAGAGGAAATTCAGTTGACTAGGAAATGGCCCCAGTAAAGAATAAGTGCCACGTTGGCACACCCAGCAAGACATGCAGGAGTTCAAGAGACTCAGGGAGGACTGTCTTTCTCAACACAGAGTTGATTCCACTGGGCAGAGCATCGCTTGAAATCAACTTTTTGGCCCTGCATGACTCTTATCACCATATTGCCATGAACTTCGGTCCTAATCTAGGCTTAAAAGGCAAATCAGATTGTCCTTGGGAAAGGCGGATGGAGAGATGGTACATCTCATATTCATGAATCCTCCATAGTGCCTGGAGTCCTGAGTTATTATCTGAACTAAAACATTGACTAGATCAGTGGTTCTCAATCTTTGCTTCATATTAGAATCACCTAGGGAACTATTTAAAAATCTCAATGCTCAGGCCATACCCCAAATTAATCAAATCTCAGTATCTCAGAGTGAGAGCCAGATATCACTATTTTTGCCTTCTTGGGTCATTCCAATGTTCAAGCAAATTTGAGATGTCAATTGAATACTTTCTATAGAGTCAGACAGGATTTGTACAGAAGGAGATAAAGTACTAAGACATGTAGAACATATCTTGAAAGCACATGGCCTGTTTGGGGGTCAGTGGAAAGTTTGGTACAGCTACAGCCTATAAGTTTTTAACTCTTTGCCATTGTCAACTCTTCCCTAAGTTTTTCTAGATCCTTCCACCAGAAATCTTTGCAGGCTCTGATTTCCTGTAGCACTTTGAATCTAATCTAAGATGGACCACATTCTACCTTATATCATAGTCCTGTACTTCATGTTTGTCTCCTTTACAATATTGTAAGATCCAGGGATAAGGGGCCTAGCTTATTTGTCTCTTCCCTCCACTAGAATACCTACTTTGAGAGTAGGCATCCAAAGATATGAATTTAATTGACAGATATTAAATAATATGTAAATGTCACAGAATGTAAAGGTAATCTATGGTTAAGCATCCCCCCACAGGAAGAATCCCTAGTCTAGTACACTTCAAAATGCCCCACAAGTAGACTGATAACTCTGAACTCCAAAATCTTTATCTGAAAAGAGTAACAATCCCTAGAGAAAATGTCTAGGCAGATAAGTCAAGTGCAAATTCTGGAAAATTGAATATCCAAAGTACACACTCAGCTCCAAACTGTAGTTTTTCCATCAGTGGGATGAGCCAAATGAGTGAGGTTCGATGGGGGGAAAATAACAAGAACATAATTTGGGGGAATCCCTTGGAGTAACAGAGCCAAGGCTGTTCATCGTCAGTGTAGTTAAACTCAACAAATTAATGAAAGATTGAGCATGATACTCTGGCAATCTCCCGGGCATAGTAGTATTTCCTCACAAAAACCTTCACTAGGAAATTCATACCAACTGCATGATATATGAGGTTCTTTACCATTGCCCTTCCCTCTTACTCACCATCCCCGTAGCCAAGAAGAATGGTGAAATTGCTATGGCACTAGGAGACCACAAGAATGCCTTCAGGAGGCAGGCTGGAGTCAAGGTCCAGCGGATAAGCTCTCAGGAATCCTTGTGAGAGTGTGGAGCCAAGGCACAGGAAAGAGGGGAACAACTTGCTTCTGAAGGTATTTATGAGAGAGGAGAAGCAGAGGAACAGAAAAGCCTTCAGCTAGTCCTTTGGAATCTGGCAGCCACTTCTGTCAGCTTTCCCATTCCTAGATTGATACTCATTGCTTAAGTCCCGCGGGTACTGAATTTATTAAATTGCCTCTTTGTTCAATTCTTAGAAGAATTTATATCTGAAAGCTATGTGACGTGTTGGGACATTTGCCTGCTGTAAGGATGAGGGACCTGAGGCTCGCTGCACAAGGTCACACTGTGGGTAAACAGAGGCAGAATTGAAGGCAGCTGCTCCTTCCTCCGAGTTGAGTTCTCTGTGTCCTGTAATAATACCTTCTGCATAGAAAGGGGGACTCTTGATTGCCTTTCCTTTGTGCCCCCTTCCTCCCCCCCCCCACTCCTTCCAATATTCAGACCCACCCCACACACATTGGATGAGAAGGACTGGGAGAAATCCTCCCTAAGGGAAGGAATTCTAAACTTTGAATCCCAAGACCCAGGAGTGAGGCTTTCCTTTGCCCCTTCACAGGCCTATACACTGGGACTGATGGCTCTGGTTAAGCCCCCACACCTGGGCCAAATGGCCTCCAGTGCTTCCCTCACAGCCTGAGCTGGAGCACCCGTGCCTCCTCTGAAGGTGAAGGCCTCTCTACACTGTGAAGCCGGGCACAAACTCCAGAATATGATTAGAACCTTCACCTCCCTGAGCCGGATCTTCTTCCTCTCAAAAAAAAAAAAAAAAAAAAAAAAAAAAAAAAAAAAAAGAAGAAGGGATCCTATCCATTCTGCAATCTACAAGGGGAATCACTCAGAGAACGTCACCCGCCCAGGTTGCCCTCAAAAGGCACTGGCTCTGCTCTAGGGCTGGCCCTTGGGTGTGCAGCCCCTGGCATCCCTGTGGCTGCAGCCCTCCCGGAGCCGGTAGGGCGCGCGCTGAGCTCCGGCAGGGAGGCCCGTGTGGACAAACAGGCAGCAGGAGGAGCGTGTGAGCTGTTGCCGTCCCTTTAAGAGCTGCCGGCCGGCCGGCCTCCGCCTCTCAGTCCTCCGAGAGCCGGCGGTCCCGGGTCACCTGGGGCTCACGGGGCAGTCAGATCGCGGCGGGGCCAGTGCTCTCGCCCTTGGAGGACGGAGAAAGGGCAACGACGCCAGGTGCGGGAGCGGTCTGGAGCGTGGCCGTCCCGCGTCTCTCCGAGGCGGAGGATGCGGGAGCGCATCTGGGCGCTGCTGCCGCTGCTGCTGCTGCTACCGCCGCCGCTGCGGGGCGGCCCCCCGGACAGCCCACGCCCGGAGCTGGAGCCCGAGCCAGGGCCTCTGCAGCCCTACGATCTGCTCTATGCCAGCGGCGTGGCCGCCTACTACAGCGGGGACTACGAGCTGGCCGTGCGCGACTTGGAAGGGGCGCTGCGCAGCCACCGGCGCCTGCGGCAGGTCCGCGCGCGCTGCGCCCGCCACTGCGCCGCGCGCCGCCCGCTCGCGCCCCCAGGCGCGGGGCCGGGGGCAGAGCTGCCCTTCTTCCGCGCCGTGCTGGAGCGGGCGCGCTGCTACCGTAGCTGCCAGACCCAGCGCCTCGGCGGCCCCGCATCCCGCCACCAAGTCAGTGAGGATGTGCGCAGCGACTTCCAGCGCCGAGTGCCCTATAACTACCTGCAGCGAGCCTACATCAAGGTACCCAGTCCGCCGCCCTCTAAGCTCCCTGTGGCTCCCGGTGCTCTCGAGTCCTTGCCACTGTGATTTTTCTGGCCAGATTTGGTCTCTTTTAATATTTCTTTTTCCTCCTCTTCTTCCTCTCCTCCTCCCCTCCTCCTCCTCCTCCTCCCCTCCTCCTCCTCCTCCTCCTCCTCCTCCTCCTCCTCCTCCTCCTCCTCCTCCTCCTCCTCCTCCTCCTCCTCCTTCTTCTTCTTCTTCTTCTTCTTCTTCTTCTTCTTCTTCTTCTTCTTCAATTTATTGGTGTGACATTGGTTAATAAGATTGTATAGGTTCAGATGTACAATTCTTATATATATATATATGTATGTATATATATATATATATATATATATATATATATATATATATATATATGTATGTTGTGTGTGTGTTCACCATCCAACGTCAGATGACCTCTTTTGGCCACCATTTATCCCCTTTGTACCCTCTTCCACTACCTCACCTCTTTTCCTTCTGGTAATCACTATACTGTTGTCAGTGTCTATGAGATTTTTGTTTTGTTTTTGCTTAATCCCATCAGCTTTTTCACCCAGCTCCCCAACCCCCATTTCCTTCTGACAGCTGTCAATAACAGCTGTCAAGATACAGCTCACAATTTCTGTATCTGTGAGCCTGTTTCTGTTTTGTTAGTTAGTATAGTTTGTCCATTACATTCCACATATAAGTGAAATCATATGGAACTTGTTTTTCTCTGACAGGCGTATTTCACTTACCATAATGTTCTTCGTGTCTATCCATGTTGCAAAAGATAAGAAGTCCTTCTTTTTTATGACTGAGTATTATTCCATTGAGTAAATGTACCAGAGCCTTATATAGAGTACCCTAAAGATTGCACCAAAAAACTACTAGAACTGATAAATGAATTCAGTAGAGTGGCAGGATACAAAATAAATACTCAGAAATCAGTTGCATTTTTTTAATATACCAATAATCAACTATCAGAAAAAAAATTGCAATTGCATAAAAAAATACCTTGGAATAAATTTAAATAAGAATGTATGCACTCAGAAAATTATAAGATACTAGAGAAAGAAATTGAAGAAGATACAAATAAATGGAAACATATACCATGCTCTTGGATAGGAAGAATTAAAATAATTAAAATGTCCATATTGCTCAACACAATCAATAGATTCAACACAATTCTTATCAAGATACCAAATGGAATATTTCACAAAACTAGAACAAATATTCCAAAATTTTATATGGAACCACAAAGGACAGCAAAAAGCCACCGCAATCTTGAGAAAGAACAAAGTTGGAGGAATCGCACTACCTGATATCAAACTGTACTACAAGGCCATAGTAATGCTTTAATGTTTCTGTCACGTGTTTGTGGATTCAGGTATCTGGCGGTGTGAGCTCTGTAATCAACACTAGATGAAGCTGGGCAAGTCTATTGCGCTCTCTCTCTCTCTCTCTCTCTCTCTCTCTCTCTCTCTCTCTCTCTCTCTCTCCTCTCTCTCTCTCTCTCAGGACTGTGTTGATAAGGCGATGTTTAAAGTCCCCACTAAGCACTGATCCTTGAGACTTTGTCAAGAGTTGGGTCTAGCATAAGGTTTTTATCACTTTATTTCTTGGTGTAGTTCAACATCCATTTCTCTGATGTTTCCATTTCTTCATCCCTCCTACACGCTAGTCTATAACTTTTCTCTGAAGTTTAAAAGAAAGCATACTCAAAACAGTAGAGATAAAGTAGGTTTTTATCTCTACTGTGAAATAAATTTCTCTCTTCCCCCCTGCATCTACAAAAGTTTAATATCAAAGGTTAAAGAGAAGGAATGCTTGCAGAGGTGAAATCTGTGTGAGGTAATCTCACTAAGGCTTCCAGTTTCTGGAGGTTTAAGTGTTAGACTAGGTTATGCATCATCAGCTGCCTCGTGCTCTCATTCTGGTTTTATTTTTGTGTATACAACTTGCCTGAACTTAGTATCAGGAGGTATGCGATATATATTAGCATTTTCCCCATATCCACAATGCTGAAGATTTGTGTGGATGCTTCAGCAGAGAGTACTTAGCTTGTGGTCCTCAACCTCACCCCCACTCTTACTCACTCATGTTGCTCTTAACTTTCTGCCTTTTCATGTCAATATATCAATGTCTCTTCTATAGCTGTTGAAGTGGCAGTTCATGCCTGCCAGTGTACCAGGCTACATTTCTGGGGTGGTGAAATACACATCATGTGCAGATATCCAGATGCATTTAGCAGCTCCCCCCCTCAAGGTCTCTCCTCTCAGGCTTTCAGGAGATTTGCAGATGTGGAGTTCAGGAAATCACAGCATGGGCAAACTCCTAACTCCCAGTGTTGTGGCTAAGATGCTGGACTTCACTCTATGATATTGGGCAAGAAGTAAGGAGTGAGCCTTTAGTCCTTTCTAGGGATTTGTCTTCTGTTTACTTGTGCCTCCTGATAGATTTGCAAAGGCATGAAAATCTGATTTCTTTTGAATAAGTGGACAGTTTTGGTGGTCTTACAAAAATCAGTCCATGGTCAGCGGAGAGGGGACCTTGAGTGCCTGACAGCTGAAGATATATAAGCTAGTTCCCAGGGCAGAGTGTGGGTGGTCCCCTTTAATATACTCTTCCCAGGAGTCACAGATGTGAGGTTGGCAGTCCTGCTGAGAGCTCTGTCACACATCTCGGGCAGATTTTCTTTTCTCAGGTCCTATAAAAATAAATAACCATGAGGTAACAAAATGTGTGTTTCTTCGGTCCTGTAATGAAGCTTGCTTCACTGTAAATGTTAGCATTTATGTCATTCTCCTACTCTTGTCCCATGGCTGGAGGTCAAAGAAGGTGACACCAATAGGATTAACATGTGTTACATTGTTGCAATGAATTGATTATAGGAGTCAGTCATTCGTGGGCACCTCTATGTGTGAACTAGTAGGCGTGGTCTGATGAACCCATGGAGTTTAAAAGTTCTTTTAAAAATATGTGAAGGAATTTAAAAAAAAAAAAATTACCAGCAATGTTTCTAAGAGCAGACAAATCTTGTATCTTCTCCATATTTACCCCTTCTCTTATAGGCAAATCGTCTTGGATCCACGTAATTGATCATGTCTTTGGAAATTCATTTTTGATGGTTGGAATTTGCAGGAATATTTTTTTGTGAATGTCGAATAAGATACATCATGGTTCTGTCCCTTCCCTTTACAGTTTTAAGCCTTTGCTTGGCTTCCAAGGAATTTGAAATTTCACACACACACACACACACACACACACAATCTTTTGAGAATAAAACAAAAAATCTCAAATAATAACGGAATATCCTGACAGGCATGGATCCTAAAGTTCATCCCCTGATGATACAATGAGGAGTTCCCTACATGTGCTTGGATATGGCCATGTTGTTGTTGAATTATTTTTATTTTTATTATTTATTTATTTGTTTATTTATTTATTTATTTTAAAATATATTTTATTGATTTTTTACAGAGAGGAAGAGAGAGGGATAGAGAGCTAGAAACATCGATGAGAGAGAATCATCGATCAGCTGCCTCCTGCACACCCCCTACTGGGGAACCAATGTACATGCCCTTGACCGGAATCGAACCCGGGACCTTTCAGTCCCCAAGCCGATGCTCTATCCATTGAGCCAAACCGGTCTCGGCATTGTTGAATTATTTTTAAATCAATGATTCAGTTTGCACTTGAAAAAAAGATAATCTTGGGCCAGATTGATTTCAGTGAGGGCTCTGCAGTCAGGATTTGAGAATAGCAAATCTATAATGGAGTCAGAACTAGTGGGCTTCCTAGAGATAAGGAAGTACAGTTATTCTCACTCGGGCTTTACAAACTGTGGAAGCTCTTGGGAGATGCTGCTCTTCCCACCCCCAAATCCCGGGAAGTGAGACATTGATGGAAGCAGATCCTTTATGCTGGGATGTTGGAAGGGAAGAATTGAATTTTGTGAAATCTGAGTCCTGTCCAGACCAATTTCACATTTCCCTGACAAGGAAAGGGAGATTCAGAGAGTGAAAGGGGCTTGCCCAGTGTCAGCTGATTTGATTTGATGAAATGAACACAGGACCAGAATTCAGGAGTCTGAGCTCTGACAATAACCGATGCCCACTTGTGCTGTGCCCACTGCCCCATGGGGCTGCCTCAGGTCCCAGGGAATGCTTTAGTTTCCAGGGCTATCCTTCTGCCAGATTTGGACAGCTCCAGGGATGAGCTGATCCTTGTCTTGCAGGATAACAGACACACAGTGCATTTATCTTAAGGCCTGCTCTGTAGAATCTTCCTTAAGACCTGGCATGTTTATCTGAACAGATATGAGACAACAGTTCCACCTGGTTCTTAGCCAGGGAAAGACTATTCAAACTTTTGATTTTTTATTATTTCTGATTGTAAGATGTAACTCATGATTCATAGCCTAAACCCTAAAATAAAGCCTTTATCACAGTATTCTATGGGAAACCTTCATTGGTTTCCCCTTGCTACTGTATATAGCCCACCTAGTTGAATACAGCACCTATAGTCTGGCTCTCCCTTAACTCTACCAGCCCTGTCTCTCCACCCCCCTTCCCCACTCTGCCACCCTCCAGCCAGAGGGAACAATAGATGCCTGGTCTTATGTGTCTTACACTTTTGCACATCTGGGCTTTGTTTATTCTTCTTTGGGAGGCATGTAGACTCTGGAATGGGATAGTCCTGATATTGAACTTCAGCTCCTCAATCTCTGGCTTTACAAAATTTTTGATCTTCTCTGGCCCCGTCTGCAAAATAGGGAAATGATAGGATGTACCTGACTGTTTGGATCGGGTTGCAGAGGAGATTTATGTAAAGCTCTCAGGACAAGGTCTCTTTTTCTCTGAACACTGGAGCCATGTGTCTGCTTGGTATTAATTCTAATAGTAGATGTTTCCTTTTCTGCGTGTTGAAATGGTAACTCGACTACCACAAATGTACCTATTTGGGTGGGGTCCTCTTTCACTCCCTGTGCAGCCCCAACA